TTTTGAAGGCACCATATAGTTGATATTGCTGACATGCTAAAGGCTTCTTTATCTTATTTCAAATGAAATGGTTGATTTTATGAACATCTTTTGTCTTGGCTTCCACCCTCTTCCAATGGCATGAACTGGGAAGGCTCTGGCCAGTCACCTGGATAAGTCTGCACGCCTGGAATCACAAGTGAAACAGCTAATACAGATGGCCAACCAGCAGCAAAACAAATTAGACTTGCGACCCCTGTTTGACACAATTGAAAATGTGAAACAGAAGATTGCCTTGATGGAGACGTATGATCAGCGCTTGGGTGGGTTGGGACTTTTCGTTTCTTTTCTACAGGGGTGTGAGGTTTTTGCTGATTCACTAGGGGCTAAGTAGAGCCTCTGGTCCTATAGTCAGTCAGTTGCAGCTATTAGGCAGAAAGGGCTTTCTTCTTGCTTTCTAAGACCAAGCTGTGATGGTGTGTGCTGCATCCTGCAGCCTTCCCCTCCTCCACAATGTCTCCAGGATTCCTGTGGCACTGCAGGGCCCAGAGAGGGGGCCTTGGTCAGGCTGGTGTGCTGTGATGGAGCCAGTGGTACTATCCATCATCCGGCATTAATCTGGTTTGTAGTTACCAGTTCTCCTTGTTAAACTACAAGCTGCAATTACAATTAAAAAAAATATTAAAGCTAACAACTGTAGTAACGCTAGTTAACAGCCTGTATTCGGGCTTGAGTAGCTCGGTGTTGTCAGCTCAAGTCTGGTTGCTCTTCATATCCAATGCTCCAACAGTTTTACTTTACCAAGTGTGTGTGTCTGTTGTTTTTTTTTTCCTCCAGTTGTTTTGGAAGGTCAGTCCAGCAAACACGATCTCCAGATCAACATTCACAAAGCACAGCTCAATAAAAACGAAGAACGATTTAAGCTTTTGGAAGGCACGTGCTACAATGGGAAGTTAATCTGGAAGATCACGGACTACAAGATGAAGAAAAAAGAGGCGGTGGAAGGCCGCGTCCTCTCCATATTCAGCCAGCCCTTTTACACCAGCCGCTGCGGGTACAGGTTATGTGCGAGAGCCTACCTGAACGGGGACGGCTCCGGAAAGGGAACACACGTCTCCCTCTACTTCGTAGTGATGAGGGGGGAGTTTGACTCGCTGCTACTGTGGCCTTTCAAGCAAAAAGTTACACTTATGCTTTTGGACCAAAGTGGGAAAAAAAATCACATCGTGGAAGTCTTTAGAGCTGACCCCAATAGCAGCAGTTTCAAAAGGCCGGACGGAGAAATGAATATCGCCTCTGGATGTCCACGCTTTGTGCCGCACACGGTCCTAGAGAACACAAAGAACACTTACATCAGAGATGACACTCTGTTTTTGAAAGTGGTTGTGGATTTAACAGATCTGGAGGAATTGTGAAAAACGTAACCGATCAACGGGACTGCTTTAACCATTAAGAAATGTTTTCTTGGTGACTACCAGCCATGCCATAGTAAATTGCCATTAGTCAAGATACTACTGATAATCTCTCGAGGCTTTTGGACAGCGTAACAGACAATGAATTGCCAAAGCATCAGCCTTTCCTTTTTTAACCTTTTTTCCAAGGCTGCATTTTTAAGGCAGCTAGAAGTCCAGCTTGATGCGAACGTGCATTCGATCCAGACTTGGCTCGGTCCAGGCTGGGGGGAATGCTTGGCTCCCATCGTTGGACTGGCATTGGGAGATGAGACTCCTCCAGTAAGCCCCCCCGGAGCCCAGGCAGGCCCGTGGGCTCCCCTCCCTCACACAGAACTGAAGCCATGCCCAGGCGTGCGAGTGCGTTTCACCCGTCTGAAATGGAAACGGCTCAACCTTAGCACATTTTAATCAATGTATCTTGATCCCTCCGTCTCCTGGATTTTTGAAGTGGGAAGAATGGCTTCAGTTAGGCAGGGACCTAGCATCTTTTTTTAATGTTTGTTTTAATTGTGTTTTTTTTTCCAGAAAACCCAGAGGAAAATGACAGTGCCTCTTACTTTTCTAGCCTGGTATTTCAGCTGTACAGGGTACCCCCAACTCACAATAGCTTTGTTATGTCCTTTCCATTCCTGCCTAGTGCCTTGGGACTGATTTCCATTGGTGATAAACATCCACAGTCCCCATCTGAAGTCAAAAGAAGCTGCAGGTGCTTCTCACCTCTCAGGACACAGCCAGAAGCAGGGTACCTGGCCAGCCTGCCAGCTCTTGGCTGCACTGCTGGAAGAAGAGGGGCAAAATTCCTGTACTTTTGCTCCCACCTCTGCACAAAAGAGATGTTTTCTGGCCTACCAGCTCTACAGAAGGCAGGAAGAGCTTTGGATATCCCCTTGGGAAAAAGCCCACATAACATGCACTGTTCCCCTCTGCTAGAAATCTGGATGTTTGGGAAAAAAGAGGGAAAATGGATTAGGGAGTGAGGTTGCTTTAAGAACGCAGTTCTCCCAGGTAGAGCAGCTCTGGTGCTTGTAAAAGGGTGAGGCAGCTGCTGAGTAACAACTGGTGACTGTGAACTACGTCTGAAGATCTTAATTTTTATTCCAAGATCCTTCCATACTGCATGGGAACGTGTGCGTTGTACGGGGTTTGTTGGAGACACACTAAAACCACCGAGATCAGGCACTGAGGAACAAGCGACAAAGAACACACGTGCCTTTTTAAAGCCTTTTGGGTGCCTGTAAGAGGGATGTAATTTTGCACACTCGGTCATTTTGTTATTACAAGTGACAGAATTTTGTGTCTCTCATCTCTCACAGATCAGGTAGTGGAACACCGCAAGCTCCCGCAGCCCACTGGCAGGGCGAACCCGCAGCTGGTCAGGAGAAACCAAGCTGGGTTTAGAGTAAGAGTAAATTAGGCAAGATAAAAATCAAAATGGGGCACAGACTGCAAGGTATAAGGTAGAAAATTCAAGAGGGCAAATGTGGCAAAATCAAAAAATGCCCTTTCCACGCGGGATGTCGATATGAACTGAAACAATACAATTTGGAGATGGATACTAAGATGAAGGCAGAATACCACATTTCATATCTGCGGTCTCGTTGCTAGGCATTTACTTTCCCACACGGTTTCTAGGACATAATTCAGACACAAATATTTTCAAATTCAGGGGCGGGAGGGAAGGGACCTTTGTTATCTGTACCCTATGGTGAGTTAGCTACATCCAAAATCTTTGTTTTGATCTAGATGTCCCTTTCGTTGTATTATGTCCGGATGCACTGGGCCACTGTAGGGGCTTTCCATGTTCTCAGGGACAGATAGTGAGGGCCAGATTTTATTCTTTTACACAGCCATGACTAACTTTAAGAGTCAATTTGGCTGTATGGCAGAGAGAATTAGGCCTCATGTCCCTAACACTTCATTACAGGAAGAGCAAGCTTGGTTTGACAATGATGTGGCATTTTAGGATGTCCCAAGCCTCAGATGTGGACTTTGTGTCAATTATTACTTTAAAATTTGTCATGTAACTTTCAAAGTGGCACAACTTGCATAATAACCACTAATAACTGACAGAAACGTACCACCCGTGTTTCCTGGGACTCCCAGTGAATTGAGTGTAAAATACAGAAAGCGATAAAGAACTTAGAGAGTCGAGGGAGGCAAGAGGGAAAGGATGCAGTCTGTATCCTGCAAATTCCCAGCCCTCTCCGCCTCCACCACCCCATGGGGATAATAATAATACTTGCAGAAGCATTAGGACTGTGTAAATGTTTGTGAAGAATTTTGAGCATGAAAAGAGCTAAGTATTATTAAAACTCCATTTCTAATTGTTGTAGTAGGTGACGGCATAGTGACGTGGGTGTTTAGTGTGTTCCTGGACAGATGTTGAAAGCATGTTCAGTTTTAGCCAGTCTGTGCTGCAATCTCTCCTCTACCTACCAGTTGGGTTTATTTTTTTGCCACGAATATTCCTTTTAAAATTTTGAAGCACAAATGATTCATTACGGGGGATGAAACCATCCCTTTTGAAATACTGCCTGTTTTATAAAAAATCGGTTGAAAAAATATTTTTTTTAAAGGCAACCTCCTTTAAATTGTTTCTTTTTAATACAACAATTGAGAGATTTATGTTAAAGTGTTCAGTGATTTTTTACTACTTGTAAACAGGATTTTGAATTTCATCCCATTACTAATAAAAAGATGTTGTATAGCATGAATTGTCAAGAAGAATTTTGATGTTGCATGAAAACCACCAAAAAACTTTTCAATAATACTGTACTGGGTAAGTAACCAAAAGAGCATAGGGTATTTCTACATCAGCATACAGTATGTTTTTAATGTATTTATTGACAGTTTGTAGTTGTTTGAATATCTCTTACTGTGACACAGGCATTTTTCTAGCCAAATGTCATCCACTGTATATGTAAATTAATGTAAGAATAAATAATTTCACCATCCTTCTGGAGTGAGTGTGGCACATATTCCTTTTGGCTGGATTTAAGCAGACTTTTTAGAAGGATGTGTGGTACAGGATCTTTTTTTTACAGTCAAAAAAAACAAACCCCGTCACTACTTTAGATTAAGAATCAATGTGCTTCACAGATATTTTGGTTTATTCTTGAGTATCGTAAAGCAGCTGCACGTAAAAGTTCATTAAGTTCTAAGCTAAGCTAGATCAGATGAAGATCCACGAGGTCTGAGGATCCATCAGAATCAAAACAGGATGTTATTTCTGTTTCAAGCAGGTTTGGGTTCAGCTGAGGTTGGATTTGTTTCAGTTCAGGCCAGTAACAGAGGAATTGTTTCAGTATCCCATGATTACTTCATGCTTGAGAACATGGCATTCTAAAGATGGGAACGGAAAACTTGGCAGGGTTAAGCCACAAGTGTTGGAAATCATCCTGGGAAAAACGTTAGCATCTGACTCCCGTTCAGAGAGTTCAGTTAGAAGAGGCTTAGCCGAAAAGTGAAATTACTGGAAAAAAATTTGGTAATGTTTTACCTCCAACTGGGAAGTTTTGTGAGACCTCAAACATCCACTGAGTGCCACGAGGTGTCCCAGCTCTGTAACTCTCATGCTTAGGGGGGAGGAGATGGCAGCCTTAGCACCCTGCTGCTGCGGGCAGCCCAAGAGCAGCCTCCATGCTGTGAGAGGAAGTGGGAAATGAGGTCCCAGGGCAGGACTCCAGCTCCCTTAATTGATGTACAGCCAACTTTGTCTGCCTGTGTGGAGATGAAGACATGCTGAAAGACCGTGTCTGCATCCTGGTGCGCAGCAAGAGGATGGTGGAGGGCTGGAGGGGCTCTCCATTGCCACAGCCACTGCTGGACATTGCTCACCCAGGGCTGCTCCTTGGGAGCTGTGGGAAGCCCACGCACTGGGCTATGGCCCATTAGGGCTAATGGCAGAGCTGAAGAGCAGGCTGGGCTGTGTGGTGAGAAAGGGAGGACAGCTGGTGACAGGAGCCGTTGATTTTCTGAGCGGGTACATGGAATAACCAACTTGTCATTCAGTTGCAGGCCAGGTTCAGCGAGAGCTTCAAAACCCCCGTTCGAGCTCGGGTCTGGTAAGGAGTCCAGGTGCTTCCCCTCCCTCGCAGGCGGCGCCTGGCCCAGCCTTCCCTTGGGGTGGCGGGCTGCCCCTCTGGCCTCAAGCTCTGCCCGGCACCCACCTCAGCGTGGGGAAGGCGGAGGCCCCTGGCAGCCCCGAGGCGAGGTGCCGGGAGAGTGCAGGCCGCAGCCCGCTCAGCCGCCCGCCCTCCGCCGCCGGCTCCCCGGGCAGGAAGCGGCTACCACTTCCGGGTCGGCAGCCCGGCAGCGGCGGGGCCCGGGCCGCCCCTCGGTAAGGGCGGGCGGCGGCCGGAGGGGCAGCAGCCGCTCCTCCGCTCCCGGGGTGGGTCGGGCAGGGAGGGGGGTGTCCTGCGAACCGTCGCGCCGGGGCTGGCCGCGGGGAGCGGGCTGGGAGCCGGTCTTCACGGCTCGGCCCGGCCCGGGGGGGGAGCCGCTCCCGGGCCGAGGGCTGCCGGTGGGGCTGGTGTAGGGTGGCGAACGGGCGGGTGAGTGCCGGTGCGGGGGTGTAGGGCAGGTCGGGGCCCTCCCGGCGGCTGCAGGCCGCGCCTGGCGGGACGCTGTCACCCGCCGGCGGGCTGCGGTGCGGCCGCTGCGGCAAAGCCAGCCCCGTACCCGCACCAACGGCGCCGGCCTCGGGGTGACAGGAGAACGGGGGTTTGGCTTCGGATTCCAGGTGTAAGAGGATGGGCCCCTAAACGTGCAGCTCACCACGGCGCGATGCGGTTTGATAGGAGCGGCGGTGGGGCTGCGCTCCTGCCTTTTTCCTCTCTCTCTGCACTGCACTATTCCTCTTCTTTGTTTTCTCCCAAAGTATTTTGGGAATGATGTTGAATGTACTGTTGTCTCTCTCTCTCTAGATATGGATAAAGTGAAGGATGAAAAAAGTAGGAAGCTCTGCGCAACTTCACAAGAAGATCTGAGAGGCCGAGGTAGGCATTGCTAGTCAGTTTCAGTGGCTGTGGCACTGAGTGTATTCTCCTTTTTGTCAGTCACCATGTTTGACCCTGATGTTGAGCATTGTCACTTGCTAATGGTAATAAACCATGGCATGCTGGAAAAGGGGGGAAAAAAACCCTAAGATTCCTCAAAATAGGGGTTCGTTGTGCTAAAGTTCTGTGAAGAGTAGACCATAGTTGTTCAGCAGGCTTATCACTGTTGCTTTGTGTTATCCTAAGGAAAAGAGAAAAGGAAACGAAAACGCAGTAGAAGCAGATCATCATCTGTTACATCCACATCGTCTTCTAGTGCTACATCCACTTCTTCTTCCTCATCGCGCTCATCATCAAGGTCATCTTCTTCAAGTAGCAGAGGTAAGCTACCTCCCTGCACACACGTGACGTTTGTCAGTATGCAACGCTCCTGTGTTAATTTCAATAACTTAAAAATAGAAGTTGCCATTCAAAGAAATGTTACTTTGTAACAAAATGCTGTATATATTTAAAATTCTGTGTTTTGGAAGTACAGTGAATACAGATCTTTTTCTGCTTCACCCATCCATTTAGACCAGCGTTGAGGTTTTTGATTTAGTCTTACTTTGGTTTTAAAGTTCCAAGCATTTAACTTGGAGGACTCACATGAAGTTTTTTAATACCAATGACTGAGTTCAGTGGGAACATATATGAAAGTATGCAGGATTAAGACACTCCGTACTACACTGCTGCTAACTTAGAGGACTTGAAATATTTTTTTTTTAACAAGGTCCTATCTGGGATTAAGCACAGATTTTTTTTTTCTGTGAGTGTAGCTTGTGATCTCCAGGGGAATGTATTGCTGATGATATCAAGACTGCATTGCTTTGATATTCTCTGTCAAAATATTTGGTATCATTGCAGGCAAAATGACCAAATTGCCATTTTATTTTTTATATAATGCATTAGGCTAAATACTGAAGTGTATTTTATTTTTTATTACTATGATTGGCAAGAACTCTCATGTGAGCTAGAACATGGAGAAATATCGGGTATTTCTCCAGAAGAAACAGAGTTCTGATGAAAACTCTCTAACTTCAGAGTCGGGTGAAGTTTCACTGTCTGGTACAGGGCCTTGTGTTTGGGACTGTGTATTCCACAGTTTAACAAAGACTTAGTTCAGCTTCTCTTGAAGTGGGTTTATATCTGTATGGAAATTTCACTGAATTTTTAGAGTTGGAAGGGACCATAGAGATCATCTAGTCCAACTCCCCTGCTGAAGCAGGATTGCCTAGAGCTTGTCAGAGCATGTTACTCAGGACTGCATCCAGGCAGGTCTTGAAAATCTCCAAAGAAGGGGACTCCACAACCTCCCTGGGCAGCCTGTTCCAGGGCTCTGTCACCCTCACTATGAAGAAGTTTTTCCTCATATTTGAGTGGAATATTACTTGTTCTCATACTTAAGTGGCTTGATTCAATGTATCTGACATAAATATATTCTGAAAATGTTCAAATCTATGAACTTGTAAATTTGGTTGGGGGGCTTTTCCTTTCTTCTTAAATTAATTTTATCCCATGTGATACACATTTCTAAAAAGAATTAATTTGTCATGTCAGACACTGACTGTGTGAACATCCCTGGCATGCTTTGTGATTCATCTTCTGGAGGGGTGTCAAGAAACTCGTATCTGAGGAAAAAATCATTGTGAAGTAGGCCCAAGTTGTCAGTCTGCACGCTCAGAGATTATGTAAAACTTTACAGCTAAAAATTCCCTAAGCTTTCCCATTCACGGGGAGAGCAGAAGAGCTAGCAAAAATGTCCTACATGGGCATGTTTAAACAGCTCAATTTACTTCATCTAGAGACGAAAAGATGGGAGGTAGTTGAGCTAAGACAGATACATAGGTGTAGGTAGTGTCTACCATAGAAAGGGAGTAAAAAAAATATCTCTGTGACTTTCAGAGTAAGGAAGAATGACCTTAAATTGCAGCAGGAGGGATTTGAATTAGATCTAGCAAAAATACATCCTAGCAGCAGAACAGTGGAATAGCTTTCCTAACCACCAGCTAAAGACCTTGAATGATAAAGGGTTGCCCTGGTTTGATGTGTCGGTCACAGCAGGAGTGGAGTTAACATTCCTTGGGGATAACAAAATGGAGATTCCTGCTGGCATTTTTCAGTCTTTTTCTCTTATTTAGCGAGTCCAGCTGTAACTCTGGCTGTTAGACACTGGGCAGTGGCTGGCAAAACTGAGAGGAGAGTCAGAGGGAAACTGTATTCTGCTCTCTGAGTTGTATCCCCCACCCCCTTTCTCCAGCCTTGCTGGTAACATGGGTTATATGGAAAGTGACACCAACTTGAGTGCAGAAAGGACACACTGTTCTGTGGAAAAAGAAACATTGGGATATAGAAACTGGGACTGCGGCGTGTTAGGTGGAGCTGGGAACGGGGTTCCCCTCAGGCAGAAGACAAGCAGGCAAATGGGTACTCAGACTGGGGAGGTAGGGTGGCCAAGTATTGAAACAGATTGAGCCAGTGAGGATGGCAACAGGTTGATGGTGAGGAATGGGAACTTGGAAAGAGTGAAGAGGAGGAAAAGGTGGCCTGGCTTGGCCTAGGAAGTCAACAGATCAGTGCAGAGTCCTAGAGAAGTTCTTCTAGGGTTTGTGGTCACGAGAACTGTGGTTAGGATGGTGGGAGATAAAAACTGAGCCTGGAAGAGGTATGGGCAAAGGGATAAAACTGGGCAAGTGTCTGTTCGCCATAGTGTACTGATGTTCAGTCTGGAAGGAAGCCCACTGTTCTTGAATGTACGCCTTTCCTGATGTTGGCAAGTATTTGTAAAAGCCCTCTGGCCAGGTGTACCATCCCCTGTGGGTGCTTAGTCCAGTCTGTTGGTACCCGGAGACTGAACATGGTGATAGAATTACCATTTCTTCTGACATGCTTGTGCTGCGTTTGTCATCAGAAGGCCAAAAGAAGGTTGCCTGGGCAGCCTTACCTTAGGCTTTTCTAACTTTTGAGTCTGGCTGTGCTCTGGTGTATTCCTATAATGTTATGTTTTAGTTTAATGATAACGTTCTCTTTTATTTTAAATTATTTGGAACTTATTGTAAAGAAACCGCAGAGCTGATAGCTTGAAGGCAGTCAAGCCTTCAAGCTTGGAAGACTAGTAAGATGTTTCACAATCTCTCTAGGTTCACAGTCCCATAGTCAAAGTTGGCGCTCCAAAATTAACTCCCTCACATACCAGTTACAATGTTTTCTTTAAAATCTATGATTGGCTCATAGAACTTGTGAGTTTCTGCTTTACAAAATTTAGTAAAAACCTTGAAATTGGAAGGTGAGTTGAGTAAGTAGGAAAAGGTTTTCATTTGTGGTTTGTCAGTCTCAGCTGTACTTTTTGTTGCCCTCTATGTGAGTTTATGAAAGAGATATTTGCAGTCTGGTGAGCACAGCTGCAGAAAGAAGAGAGAAATATTGCCTCTATTAATATAATATATTGGTATAAGTAATCATTGAGTAAATCAGGTATTTTCAGTTTCCACGTTAGACCAGTAAATGGCAGTAAGTTAAAGTGTTGCTTTTCTCAGGGTTGGTTTCAACCAGAATTAATACATATAGCTGAATTAAACCATTTTCTTCTTATGTTTTCCATTTTTGCATTTCTGTATCCCCTCTCTGTAAAACCAAGCGCCTTTTTCAGAATGCTGAACTTACAGGGTTTGGTTTTGTTTTTGTTTTAGATTCTCCTAAGTCTAAGTCAAAGAAAAAGAAAAAAGAAAAACACAATAAAAAGGTAAACATGTACTAAGAGGAAATAAGTAGTTAACAAACAGAAAATAGTTCTTTGTATTTCAGTAACCTTCAATGTCATTTAAGACATAATGCTTTTGTCTATCGCTATGTAAATCTGACTCATGCTTTTTAAGGTTACAGCAGGTGAGCTGACAGGTTGACATATACTTAACTGGATACCAGTCATTGCTGGTCCAGCTAGAATTCAGAGTAGCCTCTGAAGAAAAGTGAGGGATCTTGATAAGTTTATATTATTTCTGACAGAAGAAACTATTTAGTCAGTGAGAGAGAGTAGTAGATTCTTGCCATTGTATTTTTTCTTTTTCATTTTATTAGGACCTTCTGGTCAATGCTTTTTATATATTGGGGTTACATTAAAAGATAGAGAATCGGGGATTAGACTGTTTCTGATTCTCAGGATCTCAAGGGTTGCTAACCCTGCAGCATTGCTTTCTCTGTGCTTCAGATAGTGCCTGTTCAGTGGTGGCAAGGGCAAGCAGTAGTGGCCATCTGGACTAGCTGGGGTGTTAAGAGCTACTTGTAGGTTTCCTTTTTTTTGCCCTTGTGTATCTGTAAGCATAAGAGTACACGTCTTATACTTGTAGAAAAGGAAAAAGGAGAACAAAATGAAGAAAAAGAAAGAAAAGAAGAAAAAGAAAGAGAAAACAGGACCTGTCCAGCTTTCCAAGGTATGCTTGTATGAGTCTGAACTCTCGTTATGTTTCTCATCTAAACGCTTAATCTGTCCTGTCATAAAATGTTTGTAACACCACCACTTTTGTCACCAGCAAATGGCAACCTGTATCTATTGTTTTGCATAGTTAGGAAGCATAAAAGATTATTGCCTGTAATTTTATTTAGGATTCGTGACGTTACAAATTAAAGCTTATCTCTTTGTAATGTGTGATCTCATTTTAGTTCTTTAAAAACAAAAAGAAAAATGAAAACTACAGCATGATAACTGGAAAGAAAATTAAGATGAAAATAAAGAAGACTAAGAAGGATAAAGAGGTAAGAGTTAAAATAGTCTATATATCCCTAAGGGAAAATAATGTATCTTTTAATATTTTCCTAATAGTAGTCTTTTGGAGGAGAGCAAATCTTACAGTTGGGAGTTGTAAATTGATAGTAGCTTTTAATGTGGCTATAATGCCATCTGAGAAATTTTAATTCATTCTTTTGGCAAGTTTTGTGTTATGAGTGGGCTTGGAATACTCAGGGATGAGTAGATAAACCAAAGGATGCTTGTGCAGGTTCTTAGAATTTCAATCTGTAATGTTTAGCTGATTTGTGCCTTTCTCTGTTGATTTAATTTGCACTGTTTTTAATTGTCCTCATCTTCTTGTGATCAATTGTGGTAATTGCTGCTTTACTGTGTTTTTCTAATGCATGCAAGACTAGCCATTAGAGAGGAATTAAAAAAAGATGATCACAGTATTAGGACCACAATCTCATGCATTCTCTCAAAGCAGCCGAATGCTTTTGCTGAGATACCCAGAGAAACATACATCATGAACAGCATTTTGTGCTATTGCTATGAGTGTTTGGACTCAACACTTAAATAATATGTTCACTCTTTCCAGCAGTTTCCACAGCTCAGGGTGATCTGCAAAGGGCTTCTGGTACTAGGCAATATGTGTTAAAAGTGTTACTTTACTAAGTACCCGGTTTGGTGGATTCTGATTCAGCCCTAACAGTTCATTCTGTGGTTACCAAAGCAGACCTGAGTGTTCCAAGTTAAATTTGATCAAAAATACATTTTCTTCTTTCTGTGGCCCTGAAGTCTGTGTTAAATTATGTTGAGTGCTTCTAGCCTTATCCTGGTAACCTGTGTGTTACCATATTTGGTGTCAAATATTTGATGTCGGTCCTTTTTGTTTGGTGTCTGTGGTCATGAACACACCCAATTGAGCTACATTCACTCTTCACACTGTTTTAAGATTCAATGATTGTTTTATAAATTCTGATTTTAAAAACACTTGCTAACAAGTGTTTTGACTGCTTGAGCTGTCTCTTATGTAAACAAAGAAGCTAAATTCATGGTTCCCTTTCTATTATGCTGCAAGCTGCTGCTTATGCATAGAAAAAAATACTTCCCCGAGCGCAAGACTTGCTGTGCGTACAGTGCCTCAGACACCAGAGAATTGCATCTGTTCTGCTTGTGAGTTCCCTCCTGAGCAGGCTTTGAGCTACATGATGACAACCCAGTGGAGCCTCCACAGGGAGCCACTTAGAAAATGCATCATGAAATAGTGACAGTGACAGCTTGTCTCCTCTAGCATCTCTCCTGAGATCCTGCTGCCTTGCGCTTCCTGCAGGCGCTCACACCTAACCGGTAGCTGGTCACATCCAGCTGTTTGAAGGTGGTGGTGGTTGTTGAGTGGTGTGCTGAGATGTGAAAGCCCCACAGAAAGCAGGCTTGTGCTGCCTTTGTCCACTGAGTGCGGGTCTGTTAAACCACTGCCTCTGCTTTTCTGCTCTACAGAGAGACCGGAACCGTGCAGAACTCCTTGAATTTCTGAACTCTGCCTTATAATGGGAAGAGTGCTAACCAAGGACTTGTAAATATACCAAGCCAACGATCATCATGCCTAGCAAAACACTAAAGGGAAACTCAGGGAAAAGGACACCAAGTTTGACAAGACCAGACTCTCCCGCTGTGAAGACAATCGGGATGTCCTTTTTTAATGGCAAAACGAAGAGTAACTGATAACTTGTTAATGAAGATCCATGTCCTCCTTTTGAGATCCTGAGGTAATAGCCAGGCTGTGGTGTTGTAGAAGAACCTAAGAGTGTGTCGTCGTTGCCAATGATAAGAACTGACACACTGAAGTCCAATAATGTAATTTCTATCCTAACTGCATGCGGAACGCACTCTTAATTTCAATTGTCTTAATGTTTCTAGTAGTTCAAACAAAGCAGAGTATTTGTAAATGTCTATTTGAAAGATGAGTCGTTTCTATATGAATATTTTTTCCAGTAGTGGTTTTACTTGTCCTAAAGAGCAAGTTGACCTTTGTAAATAGAACATGCTTTTACATAAATGATTTTTTGACGGTTCATTCATTAATATATTATTTTCTTTTAGAGTTTGAGATATCGTAGAATGGTTTGGTTTGGAAGGGACCCTAAAGATGATCTAGGTCCAGCCTCCCTGCCCTGGGCAGGGACACCTCCCACTAGACCAGGTTGCTCAAAGCCCCATCCAGCCTGGTCTTGAACGCTTCCAGGGATGGGGCATCCACCACTTCCCTGGGCAATCTGTTCCAGTGTCTCACCACGCTCACAGTAAAGAATTTCTTCCTAATAGTTAATCTAAATTTCCCCTCTTTCAGTTTAGAACTATTACTCTTCATCCTATCACTACATTCCCTGATAAAGAGTCCCTCCCATATCTCCTATAGGCCCCCTTTAGGTACTGGAAGGCTGCTATAAGGTGATCTTTCTCTGGAAAGTTTATTTCCCTCTCTCACTAGAAGGTGTAACAATAAAATACTCTAGAGCAATAATGGAAGCTGAATGATTTTTATCCCAAAATAGAAGCAGGAAACATCTCTGGGTTTGTTTATCTGGATCAGCTGTTGAAAGGCAGCTCAAAATAGATAGTTTACCCCCCACATCTGGAGTTGCCGTTCCTAGACCTAAAAACTCTAGAGTTCTGGCCTGCCTTTCTGATCCCGTGAGCTGTTGATCAAATTTTCCTCTACAAGGCACATACACCATATCTGAGTCTAGTGGAAAGAGAAAGAGCCATAGGAACAGCGCTGAGGCAGGCAGTGACAGTGACCTCTCAGGTGTGTTGACAGTTCACGGGGAGATGGGACAGGTCTGGATATACAGCTGACCCCAGCATAACTCAAGCATGTGCGTGTGTGATAGCAGCAGTAGTTTGCTCAGTGCTTGCTTCCTTCCACAGCTTTGGCTCCTGATTGCCCAAGCAGGCCCCTGTGTACGTAACCCTGATGTGGGAGTCCCACTCTGAATCCCCTGTGTAGCAGGTGCTCCTTGGGAACCACAGTTTAGGAATGCCTGAAAAAAGGAGCCAAGGGTAGTTGACTTTGACAAGAATATCAGGTGTACAGTGGGTACAGGTGTGGGGAGGTCATTAAAGAGCAAACAAGCCGAAAACTCTTTGTGTCTGTGTCTGCCGTGGTGTTTTAAGTAAATCTGAAGATTTGTACCATTTCTTAAGGGATAATTTAAAAATTATTTTTATGTGTGAAACCTCCTGAAGATGCTAGAATCCTATCTTTTCTCTAGGTTGTTTTTTTCTTTTGTGAAACATTTTGCAATTGTTGCAGAGATTTAACTCTTTAGAGGCTAAAGCCCAGATCCAGAAGAACAAGCCCTTACACCCTTATGAATGTAAAAGGTGAAAACACATAGGTAAGAACTGGAGTTTCCTTGACTTCTAGTGTGATGGAAGCTTTTTTTGTAAGTGCTGTTCTGAAATGTCAGTAGGGAAAAAAACAAACCAACCGCTCCTCATTCGTTTCATGGGGATAATGCTTTGATTTGTGCTACTTTGGTATCTCTAGCTAGAGATGCCAAAGCATCTTGCCAAGATAAGCAGCTTTTCTCTCTGGACTTCTCTTAAGAAGGCTAATCCCAGACACACTCTTAGAAGACACTAACATCCTTGCCATTCCCTAGGTTATACTTTATGTAAAGATATTATCATTTCCTGAAAATATAGGAGGGGGAAAAAAAAATGGAGAAATTTGGAAGTTAAAAAGCAAATAGGAATGAGAAGGCAAGAGATCTCACTTGTAAAGAACTGCATTGGTTGGGAGATTCAGACTTAATTGAAATAATTTGCTTTTTGCTACCTTATTCTTCACTGTTCCATGCTAATACGGAAAAGATAAAGAACTTTTATTAATACGATGTGGTCGGTTCCTCTTACAGTTTGGTTGCCAACCAAACTTTGGTTGCCAGCTCTTGACTGTACAAAAATACGTCAGATCTCTTTTTCTTTTAAAAAAATCCACTTTTTTTTTGCTCTTTCTGGACAGAGGGATTTTTCTTCTTCAGTTTTGACACGCTAGATATGCTTTTGTGATGCTTTAAAGTATTTCTGTGCCGGCATTTACTTCTAAGCTGTCACTTCTTTTAGAGAGCCAAGCTGCTTGAGTACTGTGGCAGTGATTAAGTTTTATTCTCTTCTGTCCAGTTAGCTATAAGTGCTGTCTGAAACTTGCCAGCAGTTGCTGCTTTTATAACCCTCCTTTACTTTCCTGCCCATCTCCATGTAGATTCCCAGGTTTCTAAAGAGGTTTGAGTTCATGTTGCATCCTTCCCTCCCCTATCTTTCCCCACAAGCACTGAGATCTCTGTCATCTTTTCGGGACTGTGTCTTTGAGGCTGCTGTTTGGAGCTGGCCAACAGGTTCCAGACTCCCTAGTGAGCACAGGCCCACACAGCCAGAATAATTGTCCATGCCTTGCTGCCTTAGGAAAAAAGTTAATTTTGTTGACCTTTTCACTAAAGCATAGCTTCTTGGTACTGCTGCAGCTTACTAGTGTGGTGGCTGAACCAGATGTGAAGGTTATGACAATAAGGTAAGAGATGGAGAGGAATGTGATGAAATATAGATTGAGAAATTTGCACAAGGGAACTGTGAGGTGGCGTGGGATGCCGACCTGATATGCAAATAGCTGATAGAGAGCCTTGCTACTAGGTCTTAAAAAAGTGTATATTGTGGGGGAAGATGAAGGCTGGAACAATAGAACGACAGAAAAGGTATGAGGTAAGGATGGAGGGAGATGACTGCTGTCAGAAGTCATGGAGCAGGGCAGAGGTGAGGTGAATAAGGAGGGGGCTGCAGAAGCTTAGCTGGCTGGACAGGTTGAGATTCTTGCTAAAATGCTGAGTAATAGAAGTCTTTCAGATGCGAAACCTACTTTTTTGTGTTGTCTTCCCTATCGCATCTGCTTTCTGTGTCCCTGCACCATCTTCCATTCTGGGAATCACACAGAACTCGATGGTTTTTTTAACAACAGAAATTCCAGAAACAGAAGTCACTGGGGTAGGAAGGAGGGGAAGGATCTATTTGCTGAGCTGCTGCCATCATGCCCATCCTCCTTCACATTGTACTTTCTAAGTCTTCTATCCAGTTTTCAAGATGAGGTTCTACAAGCAGCAGAATTTATAAGACTCTGTCCCTTGGGATTTGGGCCTGTTGCTCTTTAAGCCCTTTCTACTACACTGGTCCTACCTCCTGCTTGTGTGCTCTAGTTAGACAGGCATAAATGTAAAATGGCTGAGTGGTTTTTATTGGGCTTACAGTGGAGGGTGTTCATTTGGACCTCGTGGCTCTAGTGAGTAATTGTCATGATGCGGGAAAGGAATCAGGTATTTCTAAAGATACATCCACAATTGATACAAATGGTAATAGCCTCAAAAGTTATTGGAAAGCAATAGTATGCAGTTACTAAAGTTTCTTTTCTTATGCAGGGAAAACGACAAAAAATCCAAACATGAAAGAGTGGTTGATGGAAGTAATTAAGTGATTCAGACAGTTCTCATGGGCAATGCAATTCTTTGTTACTGTTGTTTCTTTTATGATTTGCCTGAGCTTGACTCCTTTGCCCATGCAAAAATCTACAAGAGATCAAGATGAGAAAATACTTACTAAATACCACTTTGTCTTGGAAGTACTTTGTTCCGTTGAACTTGGACGTACCATCCAGCAGTTTTGAGCAGGGCCTGCAATTTTGATACCTGTTCATTATTGTCTCTGGTTAAACTTGGGCAAGTTGTGCTGTTTTGATGTACCTGGATGTTTCATGCTGCAGGAACATAAGAGCTTCCCAATCATCCCCTGCAGCGGGGAAAACTGAGGGAGCCCTATATGCAGGGGAAAAGCAGGAGTCAGGGAGGCTGAAGTAACTTGCCCTGAGGTCTCCTGCTGAACTTGCCCTGGTGAGGTGCAGGTGGAGGCCTTGACCACTGGATGGAGCTCTGGTATGCTTTGTTGTAGGTGTTAACATACTCCTCCTGGTCTTTGCACCTTTAGAAGCAAGTTTCCAAAGTTCCTGCTCGGCTCTCAACGCTGGGAGCTCCACTCTTATTTGGGCACTCTATGAAATGGTTGGATTTGGTTGGATTTTAACTGGTAGTGGGTCCTCCTGAAGGATATGAGGTCCTGGGCACACCTGAAAATTCTCCAGTCTGCTACTTGGTTATATTTGAAGGTGTGGGGTGAGAAGTTTTTGAGGAGCTGCTTTTTAAAATTATTGGTAAACACCCAGACTTCTATTTCCATCTCTGGACAAAACGAGTCATCAAAATTACTGTACGGTGCATGATTTATTTGGTGGTTGACAGCAGGTATTTTTTTCTGCCCGTTCAATTTCAGTCTTAAATTGTGATTCACAAGGAACATGAAACATCTGGTGTTTTCTGAGGGGAGAGCAGGAGATGGTGCTGAGAGCTCTAAGGAAGCATGTTTTCAGCCTGTTCAAGCAGCGTGAAGAACATCATTAATATCCAGTCTGATAAGTATATTTTGATGGCAGAGACACAATGTTTAAGATGACAACTGTTCTGATACCAGTGTGCTGCCCACTGGTGCTGTCTTCCAATAAGGTCCTAAACACTACAGCTACCATCAGTTGTGTTCATGTTGCTCTCTGTTGGTGGGCCGCTCTGCGGTGACCATGGTGGGAGGCAAAGGAAGCGGGAGAGTCAGGAATCTCTATTTGTCAGGAGAGGCCTGGTTAGAAAGTGGCTGCCTGTTTCTTGGTTAATTAGTGCTGGGAAGTCTGCCAGCAGGTGGCATTGCTGTCCAGCTGGACTGTCACGGAATTTTTAAAATTAATTATTTATTTTACCTTCGGACAGTGGCTTTGCACTTTCTTATTCTGCAACCCTGTAATTAGCCTGCAAAGACCTAATTATGTGGTGTTTATGGGGAACATTTGTTACTGCTGTCCTATGAATTTAATCTAGTCTTTGTTTGTTTCTTGCTGTTGGCTGTGTTGTGGACAGACAATAGTCTCTCTTGTTGCTTCTTGTGTGCTGAAGGCAGAAGGAAGCCTTTAACTTCTAAGCAGTTGAATGCAACAGGAGCAAGTTGCTGAGAGCAGGAAGGGACCTGGAAGGACCAGATGTTCTTGCACCAGCCCTACTTGGGGCTGCTGGGTTCTTCAGAAACCGCACCCTGCACTTCTCCATCTCTGAAATAATTTCAGACTTCCAGTGCCAGAATATAGGAAAAAAATAGACAAAATACCTGAGGAGTATTTCACTGTCACTGCTTCATACCACATCTGGTTATTTAAATAGTCTTCAGACTAAATTGGGTGCAATTTGTTGCTTTAGGCAACATGACACTGCAGAAATTAATGTTGGAAAAGGTACTGCATGTGGACTATGACCTGATAGAAGCCTCTGAGAATGTGGCAGTGTGATCGCTAAACAGATGTAACAGTAATTAAATTCTGAGAGTAGATACTCTGATGTAGAAAGCACACATGGTCTTTCCCACACTTCTGCAGTATTGTGCTACTGGGTCAGGTTAGATTTATTTGATAGAGGCAAAATGTAATTGTGACAAAAATATAGAGGTCAGGTGCTGTAATCCGGTTATCCAGCCAAGACCCTAGGAATTTATAATTTTATGAAGCGTACACTATACACAGATGACCGTAAGTCACCACATAATTCACTGTGCATCTTGCAGCCCTTTTCCTCACATTTCTGTCATGTTTATTAAGATCTCATCCTGCAAAGATTATTTTCCCTTAGTTTGAGCACATCTTTGTGCAGCAACTGCACAGAAAATACATGGAAGTCATTGGGAGACCCTAACTCTCAGGGCCAGCACAGTATCTTTCTGATATAAGCTGGCTTGAAATGTGGCTTGTCTGATCATACAAAGGGAACAAGAGGTCCCTTGTGCTGACAGCCCATGGCACGGACAGCAGTATCAGGGGAAGGCAGGCGCCGAAATTACGATGTCTCTGCCTGGCACAGGTGGGTAGAACTGAGGGAGGTTTAATAGCCCTGCCTCTATTGCAGGGCACAACCAGAAAAGGTTTTACTCATGCAGTCTAGTGCTTTGGAATGCTTTTGGGGCAAAACTACAATCCTTTTTTCAAGGAGGTGCAGCAGAACACAAGAATATCAGAATGGCCATGCAGTCAAGGCCTAGCTGTCCATGTTTTCCTCCTGGGAGAGGCCTATAGTAATGTTTTGGGGAAGCAGTGTAAGCAACGACACAGAGAGATTTGCTTGTCAAGTGCTGGCAGCTTCTGGGAAGTGCTGTAGGCTGCATCCTGAGTACTGTGGTTTACTAACCCTCTGAACTTGGGTAGTCCCCTTTTGAACAACTTGTCTGTCTGATCTGCAGAATATGCTGAGCAAGGCAATCCATACTTCAGTATTACTTTGTGTGGTGAAAAAAAATTACTTCCTTTTGTTTAGCATATGCATGCTTTGCATATATGATGCTTAGAACAGGGATCCCTGAGCCATCTGGAGCCATCTACTAATATAAAGGTGTTCTACTAGCCAGGATCAGGTACAGAATCAATAGAAGTGACTGAAAAGTATCTGGAGATAAAACATCCATTTTGTTGCTTATATCTTCTCATTTCAATGTAAGATGTGCTTGGAAGCATGTTGATGCAGACTTCAGTTCAAGGTTGTATCTGTAAACCACTTAGCTTCAGACAATTTCAGACCTTTGCAGTTGTTTAATGCTGGTTATTTATCACCTTAAATCCTGGGATCTCTTTGTAGAAGTAGCAAGATAGAAGGTAGGCGACTGCATTTGTAGCCCGTAGAGAGAGGATGAGGTTTTTTATTTATATCAAGTGCCTTTACCATTCTTGCCTTCCTCCTTTGATACCTACATAGTGTACAGTAGGGCAGTGGACCAGCTGTTTTGTTTGGCTAGATGAGGACAGATTATATTTCAGGAGATCTTTAATTAAAGACAAGAAGTACAAAAAATTGTTTTGTATTTCACAGCTTTGCTTTAATTTTCTGAGGTTCTGTGATGAAATGTATAAACAGTGCAATCTCAGCAGACAGGTATTTCCTGCGAAGCTTACTCCAATTCCCCACGGCGTGCTAGCTGTCTGAGCTGTATGCTGATATGGGTGAGGAACCTCACCTCCTGCACACCTTTGCTGGCTACCTCAGCCTGTGGGCCAGGATCGTCTGTAGGAGTCACAGAAGCAGGGCTGCACAGTCTCTCCCAGGTGAGTACTGACTCTGAGGAGCATCAGCCCCTTGGAGCTGAGCAGTGCAGCTGAGCTGCTGTAGAGGTGTTGCCACTGATTTTTAGAATGTATAGTAAGTCTAGGACTGCTTTTTCTTGGGTGTGACAATGTCCTTTAGACAGCATGACACTCTCAGCAACAGGGCAACAGTGATGCTCTGGCCTGATACCAAAACCTGCAGTTTTAAGAGAAGGATTGAGGATTTAGAATTATCCTTATTCAGTTGTTTGTTTGTGATATTGTGCTGCTATTTCACTTCTTCTTCTTAAAGAATGAAGATGCTGGACTAGCTCTCAGGAAGGGCTAAGAACATCTGTTGAGTTTCATCAGGGCTGTGTAGAAATATGGGGTTTTTTTCTACACAAGCAAATAGTGCAGCCCAGGAGGAGCAGAGCTGTAGAGTCAGGCAGTTGTCAGTGAGGACATGGTGTTCACACAGTACAAGTTTCATGAGGGTTTATTTCAGACCAGCATTAGCCCAGCTTTATGGTCTGTGATCCAGCTGCAGTGGATCATTTGGGTTAGCTTCATCCAAGAGCAGTCTAGTTTGCCCACTATCTGCCTGGTGCCACAGACCATAGCACAGTAGGTGGTGGCAGTCAGGAGTTGCATGATCCTGATTTTAACTAAAATGCTAACTTAGCCACACAAAATGTGGAATTAGGACAAGGCAAACATGGGTGTGTAGTTGGTGCCACATTCTGTGAAAAAAAAGATCATTTATAGTTCAGTCTACAGCATTCTGAAGAAGAATGAGCACCACAAGCAGAGTGCATCAGTCATGCGTCCTAACCACCTCCCCAGCTCTGCTTCAGTACCCACCAGTGCACACACAATGCAGAAGGTCACAGTCAGTGTCCAGGCAGCTGGCTACAGGCAAACATGAGACTACTTCTATACCTTTAAGAGTAACAGATAGCATGTAGTAAGAATAGAAACCTTATTAGCTTGGTATCTGAATAGCCCTTTATCATTAGACACTACTGTGAGCCAAGCATAACTTGCTGAAGAGGTACAGGGAGAATGATACCATTTAAAAGTTTGGAATACATTTTATTCTGGAAATAGAAATTCTAGGTAAGTTGAGGCACAACAGCTGTCACAGGCACTGCCGCAGCCTGGCCTCCATAACATACATGGCTTTGACCAAAGGTCAGATTTGTCTCCCTTTCCTGGCTGTTAAACAAGAATGGTATCTGCTGGCTGGAGGTGGTTAATGAAGGACAGTATGATCACAGGGTGCTGTGACAGCACGAACAGCCTTAAAGTGATTTCCTTGGCTTTGTACAGTGGGGTAGGGAAGTTAGTTCCTCCGCATTCTCCTTAAGAAAGAGCGAGCACATGACAGACACTGCGCTGTAACAAAGAGCTTTATGTCAGTGTGTCAGAATGTCCTGTCTCTCCCAGCAGTCCATCAAATATTGCATCAATACAGTCAATACTGAAGGTGTCAAAATAGAATGTGAGTGCAAGGAAAATGATTACAGAGCTATAGCATGAAATTCATTCAGCATTCAGTACCATACAGTGGCTTGGAAATATATTTAAAAAAAAAAGATGGTTAAATTTTTTCCAAAGAAGGATTTTTCTGCACATTGTGGTGATCCCTTGCTAGAGATCCCACATCTTCTAGGCAGCTAAGGCTACGCTAAGTATGTTGAGCCTATGTTTTTACTTCATATACACAATCACATTACTTCACAAGAACATACAGCTGAAAAACACCAAGGTGATTGTCAGAAGGCTTTAAACTCTCCCTCATAGGCCTAGAGTTGAAATAGCCCATCCCAAACTGGATGCTGTAATTGGAAGCCCTGAGTTTTTGATTAAAGATGAGCTTCTGCTTTCTGTCTCTTGGGGAGTTGCTGGCAGCAGAGTTTACCAAGGGACTAGAAACTACAGCCTGGTGCTAGTAAGAAAACCTTGTGTTCAATCTTAGCTCAGAGGGGAGAGAGGAAGAGCCAGAATCCCACTGTCTTAGAGAGCTCTTACGGGTTTGATCTTGATCTTTGTTTTATGCTGCCCTCCCCCATCTCTGGAAGAAACTGCACATTTCTACTCTAGGATGGATTTCATGTGCTGGAATTCTTCCCAGAGTTGGCACAGCTTCAAAGGGTTTTATCTTGGCTGTAGTACCCACATGCTGCTGCAAAGTTCCCCAGGGAAAAGAGCCGGAAACGGGCAAAGGAACAACAAAGCTACAGTGTCCTCCAGGAGGCTATACCCCACTGGGATGAATCCCTACAAGCCAGTCAGCCTCTCTTTTGTCCCCATCTCCCATGGGTGACCACAAAGCATCCTAGCCCTTGGCTTCTCTACAGGACCCGTGATTTTCACAGCGTGCCATTCCCTTTCCTTTGCTGGTGAGAGCTCTCCCTACAGATGCTGAGTTAGGGCCCCTCAGTGGCATTTTCCTGTTTCTTCAAGGTCTCGGCAGAGCCATGCTGGCCTACAAGCTACTCGGTTTGCATTAAGGATTCTTTTGTAATAGTATCAGCTCACTGGCCAACAGTATCAGCCTGTGAGAAGGACTAGAAAGCTCTCTTCTGAGGACTCGCGAGAGAAGACTGAAGGACCAAAACTTCATTTGCCAGAGCCCTTCAGTCACTCAAGGCAGCAGCTTGTTAAAATGATCTCAACTATTGCAGCTGTACAAAGAGCCCTGTAGATGAGTGCCGATTCCCTTCTCTGTATTTTCTCTACACATTGATACTATACTTTGGTACTCTTTCAGGCTTAGCCATAAACATTAATTTCAGCCCACTGAATTATTACTGGGATGTGGGGTGGAGCACTTACCTCAGCAACAGAGACCGCTGAGGACCAAGAACAGCATTTGACACAGCACTGATGTATCCACCTGTATATCTACACAGCGGGTTGTAAAGTTTCTATCTACTCTGCAGCTGCGAGGTTCAGGGGGTTCTGCCTGCACAAAAGAGAAAATACCCAAGAAACCTGAGCATGCATAAACTGGTTGCTGTGGAATAATATTGGTCTTTCATCTCAAAAAGCTTGGGTCTGTTTCTACTCAGGTTGGATTGCAAATTGCCAGCAAAAAGCTGATCAAGAGCAGTGCTGAGGTTACCTGTGAAGTTTCCTGTAGCAGTGAGAAAGGTTATTAGTTGGAAAAGGAAGTTCAGTTCCAAATCAGATACTAGCTTTAACCTACAGGCCTGATCCTGCAAGCCTTAGTCATATAAGTGGCTGCCTTGCTTTCAGCAGGATTCCCTCCAGCCAGCAGCTCTCACTAGCTTGGGCCAAAAGCTTTTATAGATAACTACATCCAGGCTTGGGGGGGAGGGTGAAAGGAAAAGACAGACATCACAAAACTAATTCATTTTCCACAAGAAAGCAGTAATAAAAATGAGATAGTAAGTAAGCCTTGCCCTTAAGGTTACTGAATAGCTACTAAATTAAAGGAAAGGCTAGCATGTTTGGTAATAAATCGTGTCACACACCGCGGGCATCAGCAGCAGTTACTATGGACACAACTTCCAAGAGGGAGACAGGCAGGAAGAGAGAGTTGCAACAAAGAAGAGACAGTAGAGCTAAAAAAGGGTTAACTGGGATTTTGAAAGATCACTGTCTAAAAACCTTGTTCAGTATAGAGTCAGTAATCCTTGGCATTCCGAAATTCTGGCATGCTCCAAACCCTTCTGGTGGGCTGGGTGCCCCTTTCCACATCCTCAGAGATGGTCTTGATGTCGCTGATGAAGGGGGAAATCCTGGACCGGGATTTAAAAGTTGTTAAGGAGAGGCTGGTTTTGTTCTTTGTGTTCCATTGCCTGGCAAGCTTTTTGGCTTCTTCCTCCTCTTTGATCTTTTCAGCAGTTTCCTGCAGGACAGAGCGGAAAAGCCGGGATACTTCCTGCACTTCTGGTTCATATTCAGCAATGAGTTGCCGGAATCTGAAAGCACAGTCAAGGCACAACGTTGATTAAAAACATCACATTAGGAATTGCTGCCAAGTCACTGTGCTAGGCTTGGAACTTGCACTCTCCTGCAAAATGGGACTCCCTGGATTGAAGGGAACAACAACAGGGAAAGGCCATGAAGATACACTCAAGGTCTCTAAAATCACAAGCAAGCCAGAGAATGTAAGGAAGCAATGAATCACCGCTTCTCATAAGCACATGAAATAATAGGGAGCAGCAAACAAAGCTAAAAGGTGGCAAATTTGAAACTGAAGGAAGTGGTTTTTTCACACAACACCTATTAAATCAGAACTCAGTGCTATCAATAGCTTAAGAAACAAAATGATTAGACAAGATTGTGGAAAATACCCTCATCAGAGCTGATTAAATGTGATTGTCCAAATGCAAATCCTTGTTCAAGTAGTCCCTGAACTGCTGCTTTCCAGAACTTGAGGATAAGCCGGGGAAAGTCCCACTAGATTTTCCCTGTTTCCAGTACTTGTTCCCCATAGCATTACCCAATCGCCTCTAGACAAACAAAAATCCTGTAAAATTGTCTTTTGTTATATGTTCAATAGTCCCTCAGTACTTACATTTCAGTGAAGTGCTATTTCATCCTTCCATGGCTTCCTGTAAGACAATGGACTGGCTCAGCTGATAACATCTTGATTGGCAACACGATGCAGTGGCTAATTAGACAACTGCGAATTACTCCAGTGCCTTCTGAGCAGAGAGCTCAGAATGGTTTCTTGACATATTTTAAGCTAGTTTAACACCGGGGAAGTGAAGAGTTACCACAATTTACTTTGCAGGTGAGAAAGATGAGATGCAGAGCAGCATGGTTTTCTTGAAGTCAGTGAGCGGGTCACTGTCTGGGCCAAGAATAGAACATACCATTCCTGGCACCTTGTTGGGTGATTTGGTCTCCAGCCTGGAGAGCATGGGATCCACTCCCAACACTCCCACACTGGTCACTCAGAGATTCTAGCTGTTCCATAACAGTATGTGTTTATGACAGATGGTAGTATGGCTACTCTTCTAATAAATACTCAGTTCTTAACATAGAAATTATATCTACAAGCAGATACGGAGCTAAACTAGTACTTCACCAAAATCCAGGTATTTATACTGAATGGAAGCTAAAGCATATAAGATCTGTAAGCATTTTGCTATTTTTCTGCAATAGAAAAACAGATGCAATTTCCATCCTCCACCCCGCCTCTCCCTGCTGCCACCCAAAAAAAACCCCTCTAAACTTTAAACATTTGGGTGCAAAAAGCCTCCGAGGCACTGTAGTTCACACTGGTCATAAGTACTTAGACAATGATGCTAATCTGAATGGTGCAGAGCCTGTAAGAGCAAGAGACTAGGTCTTGCTGAGGTTCAGCACGTAACAGTGGTAACAGATTTGCTGTACATTGCAAACATCCATTCTTCCTTCTGAGGAAGCACTTCAGTTGCATTATCAAAGAGCCAAAAATACAGTTTTCACAATAAATATGTCTTTCCCTTTATCCTAGTCAGAAAGAGAGACAGATGAGTCCATCAAAACCCAAGTCTTCGTAACATTATTATTATTATTATACCAGGGAAAGCACCTTCAAAGGACTTTTACTGCAGAGGTGAACCGAATGAGTCATTCCATTTTTTTTATCTCCATGTGTATTTTAAGGAGAGATGCTGGCATATTATATATATCTATATATATCTATCCTCTTCTTTTGTATTGAAAATTGTGCACTCAAAAGGCTTCATCACTGCCTCCAGTTTTAGAGGGTGTGTGTCACACTGCTGGATTGTGGCTCCAGAGCAGCATGTGTCAGGCTGGACAAGTGACTGGCTCCAGAAACAAGAGGGAAAATGAGTGGTATGATGGCAGATTTTCCAGCACAGAGCTCTAATGCTAAAGTCCTGTGTCGCTAATAACTGTCCCAAGTAGTCTAGCTGAAATAGTTTTCTAAAATCATTGTAAATTTCCACTTTTATAGCTGTCTACCAGTTTGCCCTCTCCTTAGCAATGGCAGCAAGAACTGTTTTGTGAACTCTGCTTTTGCTCCTAAGATTTATCTCCGACTTTTCAGGACCAACACAAAAACTACTTCATATGGATTTGAGCAGGTCTAAGAAACAAAGGGAAAGCAATCCAACGGCTGTCTGCCTGTCACCCCAAGAAAAGGCGCTCTCATTCAGATGGAGAAGGGAAAGTGGGGCCTTTCCTCTCCCCCAATAGGATGAACTAACTTTGCCCCTTTATTAATGCCCACATAACTTCAGTACCAGCACATCCATATAAGGGACAGCCTACGTACGCACACCAAAAGGTGTGCATGCCACAAATACTTCTCAGCAGAAGAATGGACAGGTTACCAGGGGCTGAGGTCTAGTTAAGCCAGTCTGTCTTGCAATAGAGATGATGTTTGCTACAGCCACCTACGCGTAACTGAAGCCACCTTCCCCAGCTATCGATGAAAGCAGTTGATGTGCTGGATGATCCAGCAGGCTGCTCTCTGCACAAAACACGCAACGTACAGAAACAGTAAAACCACCATAATCAAGGAATGATTGTATCCTGTGAAGGAATGATTGTATCCTGCAAAACAAAACTCCACACAAAGCTGCTCAGTGGAATTGAGCACAAAATTGCACAAGGCTCACCTATCTTCTAGCACAGGTGAACGCCCTTACACTTTTGCATGGAATAATTTCAAATGAGGCAACTGCACAGTTATATCTAGAAATCCCTCAGCAGGGCTTCCTTACTCATCAGGAAAGTATACCTATCTATCTTATTTGTGAAAGAAGTCGTGATGCTACTGGTAGCTAACCTGTAATATATTATGCAAGTCTTAGACGTGACTGTCAACAAAACTCACCTTGAGCCAGGACAGAAGCCTGGGAAGCACATATATGCACACACAGGGAAAAGCACATTCCCAAATCCAGGCTGTGTTTTAATCACAGTTCAAACAAATCTGTTCTTTAAATTGTGACCCTTCCATTTCCTCATATGGCCATTAGATTTTAAGAATCTGGCTGCGCTTGGTTCATACTGGCACTGCTTTTTTTAAAGTGCTGTCACCTGCCTCTTATTCTGTAGGTCCCCAGTTCAGTGGGTTTCCTAAGTACAGCCTGAACTTTAAAGACCTGTTAAATCCAATGAAAGTTCATGGACTTAAACAATATGCTTATAGTTCACTGTATTCCTGAGTGCCTGTCTAAACTGAGAGCTCTAAGTAGCTTTAGTCATCCGAAGAAAACATGGGGTGCTTAGTGCTAATAATTAGCTGCTGACTCCTGAATCTATATTTTGAGCAGGAATTCTGTCTATATTGTACAGCTTTGCTAGAGAAGGCTGCTTGGCTCCCAAAGGAGTTCACACTAACTGCAACACTCACCTCACATCACCTTAAATTTAAGATCATAATTGTAAATTAATTCATTTCTTATTTTAGTCATTTGTCTTACATTCAAGCATACTAGGAAGTCCATATCAGCTATGCACAATCCTTAGAAAATTACAGTCCTTAGCGTGTGGTATTAACAACAAAAGACCAAAATGCAAGTTTACGTTTCCATATTAGGTTTTTTGTTTGTTTCTCTCCGGACAGAGGACATAAACCAACTGTTTCACTTTTGCTGAAACTGAAAGAAATTACACAGACCATAACTAGGTCTGGTTAGAGCTAAAGCTCTGAGTAAAACTGGCATTTTGTATTAGCAAGCTACTAGTCTACTTGTTCAGCTTAACTATGGCAGTTAGGTACTAAGGACCTCACCAAAATCACTGTCGTTACCTTCAAATAGCTCCAGGATTTAATTTTAAATATAGTCAGCGATCTCCAACCCAGTAACCTAAAGCTGAGTTACACCTGCATACAATTGCTTTATTTGTATGAGGTGAATCAGTCTCCAGATATCTGATGTATTTGCAGTGTACTTGAATCCTTCAGAATTTCAAGAGGCTCAAGGAAAAGTTTCTATTGACCTAAAATACAGGCAAACTGGATCTGAAAAAAACCCTCCCATTTAAGAAGTGCTCCTTTCCAGCCTCCTCCACGTCTAAAGAAGCAAATTTATAGAAACTCTGCCTCTCAACAGAGGTGACTAGCTACAGAAAAATTTAGATAATCATTTAGACCTTTGGAGAATAAAGTGACATCTCTGACAACTCATACAAAAATGTTTTGTTCTGGCTTTGACTCTGAGCTTAGAATCTCACAAAGAAGGAGACCTTGCAAAAAGGACTTCAGCTTTTCAGATGCCTAAGATGGAAGGGGAAGGACCAAGCTTAATATTTCAGACAGAACCAAGGGCTTCAGTAAGGTACATGCTCTGCATTTGAATTTCCAACTGCAAGCTTGTAGACTTTTTTTTTTTGTGTGTGGAAGCTTTTTCTAAAAGTTACTATATATTAGAAAGTCACAGGGTATTCAGGAGGCAGCTCAATGATCTTGTGATTAAAGTACTTCAGTGGAAATGTGAAGATTTCACTTGAATTCCTGTTATACTCATCTTGTGCAATTTAGGGGAAGTTTCTATGTTATCTCACTTTCTGAGAGGAGCATTTATCCAATTTTGGCTGTCTTTTAGTTAGATTGCATGCTCCTTATTTCTCTGTACGTTTTCAGCTCCTAGCATGGCAAGCCGTATTCTTTTCTATTCTTTCCACATCATCAATGAAGATTTCTGAACCATAGGTCTCTCGGTTAGAAGACACAGGAAGGGATTATCAAATAAACTAGTACATGTTAGTTTAAGACATGCAAAATACAGTTTTCTACAGCAGAGTTGTAGCTGAGATGTAGAACTCTGCCATGGGGTGCCACGAATGCCAAAAGTTTAGATGAGTTTTTGAAAAAGAAAAGCAAAACCCCACAATCTAAACAAACTACTGAAAAATCCACATAGGGCAATTATGGACAGAAGGACCACTTCTGGCACCAGAAGTCTCCAAGGCACAGTACGTTGGAGGCTGTATACAAGATTCTGTAATTGTCCATACCTTTGTATTTGCATGCCTTGTTCTTTTTTCCTTACACTGTTATACAGGTTGCACATCAGATCAAACAGACCTTTAATCCAATCCAATTCTGCCATTTTTGTGGCTATGACATTCTTCTCAATCACGGAATTGAACCAACAAAGATTATGCAACTCTCATTTGTTTAATGTGGCTCTGCTAACCATGCAAACTGCATAGTATGGTATGGAACAAATAAAAACATGCCACTTCTTGAATCCCTCTGTAATACAATTTAGATAGCCTATAATAGCAATTTATAAGAGGATTTTTAAGAGAATGGTTTTATCCTTTTTCAGTTCTGCCCACATAGAGCCCACCAATGTTGCCGAGTATGTTTATCTACTGTCAACAGTATGCTGAGTACTGAGCAGTGAACAACCACTACAAGCTGCACTGAATCACCCATCTTGCATGATCTCAGTTAAAAACAAACAAACAAACAAACAAAAAACCCAAAAGCAGAGCAGCAGCAAGTTGCATAAAGCTCAGCTTAATACTCTCTTCTGAAGGAGATGATAAACCTAGGGGCCTCTCAGCTCCACTAACTGAAACCTGCTCTCATGGAAATAACCTATTTGCCAGACAAGCCTTACTCAGTGGCCCTGGGGATGGTAAAAATAACTCTGAACCCCAGGGGGTTTGTAGCGACTTGTTTACAGCATTGCTCAGAGTTAGACAAATACAAGGCAGGTGCTGTTTCCAGCAAACTTTCACTGGAGAGAAGTTGGCCAAAAATGATCCCAAATCTCTGATTCTGCCACCATGGTAACATCTGCAAAAGTCAAAAGTCCTATGCCAGTTTGCTAACACGGTAGCACCTTTTGGATAGTCTGGACACTGGGGACAAGTGCCTCAGTAGATTTGCTGCACAACTTAAATTAAGGAAGGCATGGTCCAATGGGCGTGGATAAACACCAAAGCAGATTGTTCAGAGGCTGTGCTGTTTCCACCCTTGGAGATACTCAACAATGGATAGGACAACCTGATCTACCTTTGAAACTGGTCCTACTCTGAGTAGGAGGTTGAAGTACGTACCTCCAGAGGTCACTTTAAACTTCAACTATTCGAAGATGCTAACGACTGAAGCAAAAGCCATCACAATACTGAAATGGTAACTGTTCATCAGACAAGTAAAGCTTCTCTGGCTGCTCAGAGCATGAAGTACTCAAATCAGTCTCAGAGCGCAAAGGCATCTTAGTAACCGTTTGGACGCAATGATACCACGTTAAACTGACTTAAAACATTGCATTTCCCTTATTCCACATAGACACTGTCCCATAACTTATGATACAGGATGTCAAGTTTTTGTGCTGTAGGTCCTAACAACTCAATCCTCCCTCACATATCATAGGGAACGGGAAAGGAAAGGTGTGTATCCCATCTTTTACTGTACCTGAGTATGACATGCCCACAGTAGGAAGGATGTATTTTGGTACACATATCCTCCAGCTGCAGCCGTTCTCCTGGGCTGATATCATAGCTCTGCTTTGGGTAGCTGACCAGCCAGCCGTAGTCCACCCCAGTCTTGATCTTGCGATACTCATTCTCCCGCTCTCGCTGCTGCTTCTCTGCCTGCTTGGTTTGCCAGCTCAGCTCCATCATGAGCGTCTCAACCACCATTTCTGTGGGGTTCCTCTGGGAAATGCGGTTTGGGGGCTCATTCCACCTGAACCAGGATGCCAGTGACATAGTGCTCTGTGTGTCTTCACTGGGAGTGGGTTGAGGGTAGGGAGGGAGAGAAAAAGAACAGTGCCATCATCAACACCTCAGCCGAGAACATTCTCCCCCGCACACCCCTCGAGTCTGTTCTTCACCTCAAAGTGTTACTGGATTAGCCACTTAGAACTAGTTGGTGCTGAGCACCTTGAGAAATCTCACCCATAGCAGCCAACTTGTGTGGAGGACGAGACAAAGGGTGAAAAGGCACAGTTTCCCTTGAACTTCCAGTCACCATGTAATTAAAATGACAGTCACAGTTCTTACATCTGAAGTCAAGTTATAAAGATACCTCACTCCCTCCGGGTTAGGCTGGGGAAGAATTCTCCTGCCCACACGAAAGAGCTGGGACTTGGGCTCGCCTGTCTGAACCTTCATGGGAGGGCATGACCTTGCAGCACCCTACATGCAAAAACTCAGCATGTGGAGTCAAACTATTTCTGGGAGCCACATGCTAGCCAGCAGGGGATCCTCCAGGGGGAGGGCAGGATAGGTGACCTTGCTGCTGCTGTCATGTAAGTGATGGAACTCATCTGTAGTTAGTACTGACAGGAGCAACAGTTGCATTAACTACAAGGCCAGGCAGAGATTTAATCATTATTTAGCAAAAGTGGTGTTGGATGCAGAAGGAGAGGCTACACCATCTTCCACAAACTGAAGTCCAACTATCAGCTAAGCAGGAAGAGCACACCCTAGGCACTACCACCAGCGCCAAGGCTGAGCAGAGGGAAGTGACAGCACACCAAGGTTTAAATTGTTATTACTTTGAAGTGAGAGGTTTCTGCTGCTGGGGAGTTACCCAGTACTTAGAAGGCAGAACAAACTGCACCAATCAGCCAGTGAAAATGGAATTAACTCCCCACCCAGCCAATCCTTTCATGTACTCACATCAAGAGGACAATGCATGGAACAAAGTTATTAACTATTGTATTTGTATTTAAATACAATGGAGTCCAAAGCAGGCACTAGGGACCTGAACAAGAACAAAACAGCATCTGTTTCTTCACAGAGCACAGTTACGTGCCTTGTTGCTCCCTTCCATTAGCCCCCAGGGGGAAGGGGTGGCACAAATAATGATTGCAGCTGGAATTTCCAAAAGGCTACTCCTGGCAGCAACCCAATCAGGACACGGCATCAAAAGTTAACATGAGGGCAATGGATTAAAGAGCCTGATTCTGCAGGACCTGAGCAAATCCTCACCGTAAAGACAGGCATAAAAGAAAGAAAAATATGCTTCTGATTTAAGCTGCCACATCGGGGCCTAGAGCCATTAGTGACAATGCAAATCACAAGAAGCTCAGAACTACCCAATACTCCTACTGGAGCTGAGAGCCAGGAGCTCCCAGACTCCCTAGGAGAGCAACAGTCAACAGGATTCTGCCTTCAGTGCCTAGAAAATTGTCACTGTGCGCTAGGTGAGAAGGGTATTGCAGTTGCTTTCATGCCTTTATCACTTGCTACAATGTAGCCTTGTTCTCCTTCAAAAATGTTTGTATTATGTAAATATGTCACACCATTAAAGGAAAATGCTCCAAAATCTGGATAGTTTGAACAGTGTCTCAAGTTTGAAGCAATTTCAGCGTCTAATGCTTAGGCTTTTCTAGAGTCAGGAAGTTCGCCAAACTGCATCAAAGGAATAGTTTCTCTAGTCCTATATCATAGTTCTCCCAGCAAGCAATACCACTTTCTTCAGAATAAAGACATAAAAGGGCTGAAAACTTCCACAGTACACAGATCTAGCTACCTAGGTGTGTAAGGCTGCAGGTACCCTTCCAAGACAGTATAAACATTAACACCTTTGCTAGTTTACAGTGCTTATACATGAGACATCACTGTAGTGATTGTTTTTGCTCTGGAGTATCAGCTATGATTATCCTTACGATAGCACCCATAGTCAGCAGCTGCTGGAAGTAATCCTGCTTCCTATCTCATTTCTGTGCTCTGTAGGAGGAGGAGCAGCAGGTCCTTTCATTTGCTTTCATCGCCAGGGTGACTCCAGCTAACAGCTCTCACATCATCACAGAGCACTCTGGCTGCCTGCGGCTCGCTTACTTGCCCAAGACACGTGAGTGAACTCAGGCTGGAATGGATGTGCTGACAGCTTCAACTCCATAATCCCACCAGCCTAACATGTACCTGGATCTTGCTACATGGTGGCCTCTGCTCACCATTACACGTTATTAAGGATGAAAATCTTTACAACTTAAGACCTCTTCCTCGGTCTTATAACCCCTTATGTATCACATAGGGAAGCTCTCTGTTAGTAAAAGTGAGTAGCAGAACAGGCCACTTACAACAGGCTGTTGTAAAAGATTTAAACGTCTCCTGTTTCTTTTTAGCTTATGTGACAAGAGCAATTTTTCATAAGCTTTGACAGGTATCTGACCAATTAAGGTATCATTATTTCCATTTGCACCTTCACTGGATGAAGGTGTGCATGCCGTTCTGTATTTTACCAGCAAAGGGTTACTTTGCTTTTATTCTGGCTATGACTTGGTCTCACGTTGGTTTAACTCTGTTGACTTCAGTGGTGTTAGGGGTAAATTGATATAAAGCAGTGAAGCTGAGGAATGTCCTTCCAGCTCTTCCTAGCTCACCAGCTGTTTCATTAGAAGAGGAGCAAAAGGGGAATTTAGTGGTCAAAACTGGGAAAGACAGCAAGCAGACCTGGGCTCTCATTTCACCAGCCCTGGCTTTCACATGTTCCTACTGCCTTCATGTTTTTATCTCACAGGTCTCCCTCAAAGCTAGAAGTTCTTCATGGTTAGAACCATTTTACCTAGCACTAGTATTGCAGAGGACAATCAGTTAGAAAAATATTTCAGATACCTTGTCTGAGCAAGGCCTGCTGAACCTGAGCTTTGCCCTGTCCCAGAGCTTTCACAAAGCACTAGTAACAAGCAGATTTGCTTTCGATATGGGAGGATGGACACCACTGATCCTGAATAGGGCTTCCACTTTACATACATACTTTTCCCATACATTACTTGAAAAATCTGTTCTTGAAAAAAATATACAGAAGAGTATAAAGTAAGGAAAGCAGCTAATCGGCAGTTTAAAGTTCTCAAATGAAGGAAAATCCTATCCAAGCATTTCATGCACACTGGCAGCTTGTGCTGGCTGTTCCTAAGGGAGTCTTGTTTGTATGAGATTGTTTCCTTCCCCATCTCTCATCCATCATCTCCTCCTTTGGAGAGTTGGAAACTCGCCATCTCTATTTAGCAGGCTTGACAAGCCACCATTCTTCCCACTACTGGTCTTTGCAGCCTGCAGAAGATACTGTGGACTCCATTAACTGTAGCTGCTGGTTTTAATTTAAAGTCAATGTGCAAGCTAATCATTAAATGACTTAAAATGGCTTTCCTATTAGGAAAGACTCAAAGGACTGTTGGCAGGATACAGGCAACCAAAGGCAGGCAAAAGTTTCATCCTGACCTTCTTATTAGGCAAAAGGACAAATTTATACTTTGCAAGCATCCACATTAAAATTATCAGAAGAAAGAGAAAACGCCCTATCTGAATACAGATCTTTATGTTGTACGATTAGTCCATTTTCTGATTCCTTGTAAAAGGCTATCATGGGAGCTGACATAAGCCAGTTGATGAACTACTCTGGTTTTATTCAAGCAAAATGTCAGAGTGGTTTATGGAAGTTCCACTCCAGAAACAGACCTGGGTTTCAAGACTTTTATCTTGTTGACCCTAGACCTTTGTCTAGAAAGCAAACCTTCCCCTCACACTGTTGATTGCAAGTCTGACCAACCACCTCACAGAGTTTTAAGCATACATTTACATTAGCTATGTTAAAGTCTGGAATAACTCGCTATCTCTCTCTCAGAGAGCCTCTGAGAGATTTCTTCACTTTTTAGTGATTGTTAGTAAGTCCCTCTGAGAATTTTTCATGTAAAAGTTTCCTGTTAGCTTTAGTTCTAAAGATGGCTTTTGCCTGTCTCCAAATCACATTTTTATTCTTCATATTGTCAGCAATTTCTGCATTTTTCTCATCTTCACATACTTTAGAGCTTCCTTCATTCTCTTCTCACAGTATGTTCCATACCATTTCACCTAATCTTCCACTTTTTTACCTTTTCCCATATTTCCCCACATGATTTCCTCTTCTTGCTCCAGAGAATGCACCAAAGAATCACCAGGAATATCAAAGTCCACATGCCTTATTTGTTATCTCACCTTCCTAAAACAGAATTTCAGCCTTTCCTAGCTCATACTAACAAAGGGAGTATGTTTCTGTAGCTTGCTCTCCGGCTGTTCTTTGGCCAACTGGAGGCTCTTCATGTAACATGACAGACATCAGTCTCCATCGGGCTCTTGCAGGCTAGATCATCACTTGCTAAGACTTGTTACAGCAGGGCTACTTTCTGGTAAACCATGAGTCAATCAGCAGGACCTGTTTGCCTTGTACAAGACAAACTTCTGAGAAGAAAACTTCTCTTTCCATTGATCCTTTTCCTGGTTCCCAGGTTCCAATGCCCTCCAAGACAGGAAAGGAATAGGCAGAGGGTGGGAAATGTGCATTTGTGGGGAAAAAAAATAAAAATATAAGACTACAGATGGACTCTCTGTAAAGGTGTGTCTTCGGTTTGACAAGTCTCCTGTGGTTTGCATTTGCCTTCACAGTCTGTCAAACCAGGAGTACTACTGACAGACTCTCAGGAGTCCTAGGGGTATGGTAGTTGTGTCAGAGCAGAAGTAGAGAAGTCTTAAGGGGCTGGATGAGTAGGAGCCTAAACCAAACTCCAGTGATGTCAATAGAGATGTTGTCACTCAGCGAGCTATAGACAGAGTCCCAGGAAATCCACTGTCATCCAGGTAAAGCATAGTGACAAACTGGGCTGAGGACCTGGGAAATGCCTTCTCTCCCTTCTTGTGGGTGGTAGTTCATTACTACTGCAGTCAGAGAGAAGAGGCAGAATTTGTTCATGTAAGATACCCACTCAACCTTTTTTTTCCACCCATGCCAGATTAGAGGGTAACAAACATGGAAAACTATTTCTAAAATAAGTGGGACAAGCTCCATCTCCAAAGTGTACTCACAATCGTACTTTTTAAAAGACATGCAGTTGTGGGGAAAACAAATTATGTGAAACCCTGGAGCATATTTTATTTATTTATTTGTTCTTTAGTAAAGTTTGAATTACATTATCCAGAAAAGTCCAATGTCCTTCAGATAGCAAAGGGCATCTAAGTATCTCTCTGGACTGCAGCTCACAGGCAGACTAAACCTGGTTTGGCTACATCCATCTCTGAACTCTGTACATGCTCACGGATGCAACATTTAACCAGCTTTTCTGGCAGAATTTGTGATCATGTCTACGCTGCTAGCTATACCTTCATGAAGCAGGGTAAGTAGCGACAGCATCGTAGGTGAACACCAAAATATGTTTCTTCTGTGATAAAGATATTTTAATTTTGTTCCAAACAAAGAATCTTAGCAAGTTCTAATTAAGAAGCCGCTGGCAACACCTTCTCAATTTTATTTATATAGTCCACCATAGCTTTGTAAAAGAATCTCTGTTCTCCACCACTTTTCTATAGTCACCGTTATGCTGTCCATACAGAGACTTTTACCTTACCAGCACCCAAAGAACCCTACTTCCTATCTGTCTGGAATATCCCTCCTTGTTTAGTGACATGGAAAGCTACAGTATTTACAGCTACTTGCCATGGAAATTATTATAACCTCAGACATCTATCTCCCAAAATTGCTATGAGGCAAATAATGCTGAAAAAGCAGTAGATAGAGCTTTTCAATCAAGAAACTTAAAAGCAATGCAAATATTATTAGATTAATCCAGCAGCATTCCTCATTTTAGCCCACAGAATAAAGAGAAAGAACTTGTAGGGATGCTCTGGGATCTGGTTATAGACCACAGCAGAGAACCCGTGTTTTGCTTTATGACCATACTGATTCTTTTGTTGTGATGGACACAAGCTATTTCTGGACAAAAGAAAATTCACAGTGGTTGAAATAGGTCCAGGGACAGGACCCTGTAACAGGTAGCAAGGAGTTTTGAATAACATAAGTATAGGGGACCAAGCCAACACTTTAAATGAAACGTGATTTATCGTCAAGGCTTCATGGCTGCAGGTGTTTAAGGACAGCAAAAAGAGCTTCACAGCGGTGAGCTAACGGTGACAGGGCACTGTGGCACCCAGCAGGCCCCTGCATGCCAGGTAATGCCTGTCTGCCCCGAGCAGGGCAGGGCTCGTGGTCCGACCAGCCTGCTGCAGGCTGACAGCTCCTGCTGCTGCCCGAGTCAGCTCCTGAATGACAAGTGCACTCAAAAATGTGTGAGAGCCATGCTGCCGTTTGGCATACAGTCTAATTTCCATATTAGCTTTTCTCCAGCAGACTTTGCATTCTCAGCATTATAGAAATGGGCTGGCTCTATGTCCAGTGGAATTGCCACAGAGAGTTCCAAGTCACCAAAGCCATTCGTGAACGTGCACGAGTATAAAAATCACCCCTAGGCAGCATAACAGAAGGACAGTCAGAGCATATCACAAGGTGCTGCAAGACAAAAGAGAAACAAAAGTGGTACCATTTCTACTAAGGAAAGCTTGAGCGGCCTTCTGAAAACACCACAATGATTATGGTATGCATGGGTATGTCACACTTTGTGCAGCTAGTAGCCCTCAAAAGATTTTTTGTAATGAAACTCTTTAAAATTGACAACACGTGAAAAATACCGCTTTTATCTCCCCAGCATTTGTGTAGTTTGTAAAACATTCTTAAAGCTTCAGTCTTTCAGAAAACAAGTCTATCAGATGCATTCTACATCAGCACTTTGACTGCAAGAGGGATAAACAAACAAGAATTCAGCATGAACTGGGCTCCAAGCTCAGGAATGAATGAGAAAGGTATTTTTCAATCACTAGGCAAAACATGAGGAGAAGAGGTAGCTGATCTAACTGGTACAGCTTCATTATCTACGGTACAGCTGCACTAATATAAAAAAGATTTGCCACACTGAAATAAATAAATGAACTGTGTTGATTAACTCCAGATGCAAATCCAGTCCACAGATCTTAAAGAAAAAGTGAAAGAAGGGCCCAATAGCCTAGAGCTCTACTAATGGCTGGGACTCTACAGAAGATAATCTTTGTGTTATCTGCAGAAGCAAAAGGGTGGGTGTTGCTCAAATCTGCTTATGAAGCAGAGTAGCATTTTACAGTTTGTCTACTTATCAGAGCAAATGAGTTCCATCTGCTGAGAAACAGGACTATTTTCATGCCAAATTCCCACTCACGCTTTAAACAATATTTTCTAATAGCAACCATAAAACCACTCATATCATATACAACTTCTACTGGACTGTTACCTAAACCTACTGAAGCCAGGAAGTTAAAACACACTGATTTGCTCTATTTGCCTAACTCGTTAGTAAAAGTCCTATATTTTGCTCAGATTCAGCTATCTTGCTGTGGTAGATCAAACACACCTTCAGGTCTGTATCTTACTTTGATCTTTGCGGACTACAAAGACAGGTTTCCAATCAGGAGAGAGGGACGTAAAGTATTCTTCACCACTCATTTAGTCATGTAAATGAGAGTTCAGAAGGTAACACAGACACATAGCTTTCCTGTTATTAAGACTACTCAAACCACAAAAAAAGTATTGCAGCAATAAAGCAGCAGCAGCATCTGATGGAAAGCTCCAACGCAAAAGGCTCTCAAAATTAAAACTCGGAGAGATCCCCAGTTCATCTTTCTGTATTCTACTGTCATTGTAACTACACAGCATTATTAAAGGGGCAGCATTGTCACAAACTGGAGTTTCTAATACTGTCATTCACTGCAAATACTTTTATCTATAGAATTATATAAAGTAAGAGCTTGAAACTCAGACCCAAAAGCATATTTCACCAGTCGTCAGGTCCACCGAAGTTTGGGGTTTTTATTCATATATTGTGGCATAGACCAGACTGAGTGCTGTGAAAATGGGTGGGTGAGATGCGCATTCTCCATCCAGACTGAGGACTGATTCTGCTGTGAAAGCAGGATAACTCATCACATTGTAAGGTAAGAATGCATTTTAACAGACAGCTGTACATTTCTATTCAGTACTGAACCTTGGTTACAGAATGTATCAGAAAGAATATTTACTGGAGATCCTCAAAGTCTCACCCTGTCTCAATTCACTGCAGAACTATTAACCTATGTGGGAGTTTTCCCTGTACTGAAGAATACTAAGACCAGTGTTAAAGTTTGGTCCTTGTGACAGGAGTTACTTAAAAATACACATTGCTTTAAAATTAGCACCCAAAAGAAGAATGATAAGTTTACAGTTTGAAAAGTTAAGCCTCCCTTTGTAGATATCACATACAGCACAGGGAGCAACTGGCAGAGCTCTGGGAAAGCTCAAGCTTCTCTTCTGCAATGGGTGTATGACCCACCTGCAGCCCATCCACAGAGAGCAGCCGTACAAGTAGTGAAGAGTGCTGTCTCAAGACAGATTTTAATTAATGCGTTAGCATTAAGAGATGTACAGTGTAGTCTGTTCTCAGTTACGCTGCCCTAACTCCAAAGCTATCTGATTGACCTTCGTGATACCACCCAGGGGTTGCTTACACATTGGACTTCCACACTGAAGACACTTAGCAGGGCAGGTATCTAACCTGAGAGATCTTAGCAAGAGTGGCACGGGCGTAAAGCAGCATAAACCCCACTTTCCTCCCCCTCACTGCCTGTTCTTTACGTAACCAGTTACCCAGGGCTAATCCAGGCAGGCGGCCCCGCTGTGCCGTGTCCCAGCCCAGCCTGGGGGGGCTGTGGGCGCACCCCGGCCCCCTTCCCTTCCCTGCCCACCCATCCCGCCTCACCTGCGGCAGCAGCGGCTCCCGCCTGCGTGTGCGGGCACAGGGACGCGGGAAGAGGCTCCCAGAGAGAGGACGCGGCTGGGAGTCAAGCTCTCTAAAGCGGCGCAGCCAGCTTAAACCCACACCGGGGTAGGGATTAGCCCTGGTGACGAGGGATAACAGCTGGGCTTACAGCAGTGCTTTGCAGCTATTAGGGCTCGGTCCGCTACCTCCACGGCTACCCGTCAAAACCTCTCCACTTTGGCAGACTCCGGTGCCTGTTTAAAAATCCCTCCGAAACGCGAAACTTTGTGGGGATCTCTGATCTGCAGCTGAGGCGATACTTCGAACGTAATTCACAGAGTTGGGACTTCGGGAAGCCGTTAAACAGGGCTGGTGCCTTACCGGCCTCACCCCCCCTCCCTTCAGCCGCCCGCCCGCCTCAGCCCCGCGGCTCCCTCACAGCAGCCCCCGGGGCCGGGCAGCGATAACCACACACGACAACACTGGGAACACCCCGAAACCCGGGCTCTCTGAGGCACTGGACCGGGACACACAGCGGTCCCCTCCGCTCGGCACCACCTCCGTCCCGCCGGCGCGTCCCACAGTAGCACCCCCACCCGCCGCCGTCCGCCGGCGGTGTCCCCTCCTCCTTACCGCGGCCACCCGCTCCCGTCCCGCCGCCGACGCTGAGGCGAGCGGCCGCTGGCCGCGCCGGGGCAGCGCCGCCTCGACGCCGGCCCCTTCGCCGAAGTTGAGCGGAGCCGCCGCCGGCTTCAAGCGGGCGGAGGCGCGCCCGCCGCTCTCTACCCCCCCCCAGCCTCGCCGGCTGCCGCTGTTGCCATAGCGACTACGCTAAACCCATTCGGCCCCGGAGGCAGGGCAGCGCGCCCCGCCCGGCCCCGGCCCGGGCCCCGGCCCTAGGCCCCGGGACGGCGCCGACTCCCGCTCTCCAATAGGCCTACCTCTGTAGATTAAATGTGTACTGAAAAATAACGGCATATGTGTTTTAATTTATGTATCGCCAGGGCGCTCAGCAACAGTTACAGCTGTGCCAGGGGCTTCAGTCACAGAAGTCACACAGGTTTCAAGTGGGTTTGGAGGGACGGAGAAGGACGAGGAGCTGGAAGGGCATGGGGGAGGCAAAGAGGAGAAGAAGGAGGAAGAGGAGGGAGAGTTGTTCTGTTGGGAAGGTGAAGGACAGGCAGTGTCAGGGTAGGGCTTCACCTGGGCTACATTTCACCTGGGAAATTACCACACTGCAAGAAGGGGTCCGGCCACTGAGAGCTGTGAGAGATGTGTGTGGATTCCGAAAATTCTGAGAAGTGATTGTATTTAGTAAGAGGTTGGTGAGAATAGTTGTGTTTAGTGAGGGGTCAGTGAGGTGAAAAGAAGTGGCCTGGCAATGGGCGATTACACGGGTGGCAGATGGTGAGGGAGCAGGCCCCGCACCTCAGGTCAGGGGACAAGGCCAGACTAGTGGTCCCAGCCACGTGTGGTAGAGGTGACCTCTGCAAGCCCATGGCTCCTCACCCTGCCTCTTCTCACAGCGCAAAAATGCATGGAAACATCCCTGGCGTCATTGACCAAACCCCCAGCAAATTGAAGAGGGGCCCAGCTGCGCCAGGGGGTCGCAGAGCTGTGGCCTTGGTTAAGGAAAGGCCAGGGACCACTGGCACCACTTGAGGTGTGAGACCTCAGCATGTGTGGAAAGTCAATCAAGCCCCTCTGAAAAGCTTTCATAAATTAGGGCCCAAATTCTGACATCTTGGTAATTATGCTGTGCTCACACAGCTAGAGGACAGGGGTGTTTCACACCACTTACATCTATATGGTACATGCATAAGTCAAAACAGACAGAAGGAGGAACCTAAATTTCAAAACAGACCAGCTAAACAATTACAGGTTAAAAGATGCCCAGTGCAGTCTAAATTAAAATGTATGAGAAGGTGTTGGGTTGTTTTTAATGTCTAGTTTATTATTAGATCAAATAACACAGCCAGACTAACAAAGAGATTAGGAGCTTTTTCTGCTCTAATTATTTGTGGAGGATTATGTGTCTGTCCTGAGCTTTGGTTCCAGCCCAGCGTACTGCCCAGTTTGCAGAGGTTTATAACATTCTGGGTATGCTCTGCTCAACACAGGATTGTTGAGTTTTAATTAAAAGTCATCTTACATGGCTAAAAGCCTTTATATTTTCATCCACTCAAACTTATTTCAAAAGTCATCAACTCTGACTAATGCAGAACTAACCTCATCTTGAAAATACTTAGTTACCGGGTAAATTAGTTGTTATATTTTCAATGCAGTAAACTCCTGGGAAATTCTTGCCATGAATCAGAGATGCTGATGACTGGGGTATCACTTCAGGAACATTTCTTTGCAGATATATAAGTCTCACAGTGGAAAAATCATTCATCTCTCCTAAACCTTATTTAGCAGTTAAAACCAAGGATTCTTATACTGTTGTACTGATATGACTTACCTGATCAGTCAGCACTCAAATCATCCGTCGCTCAGTAGCAGCACTCTGATAACACAGATGGAGTAAAGCTTTATTCAGCGGTACATTTTCCAGAACATTTTCCAGGACAATCGAGACTCACCATACTGTAATTTGTAGAGCTGTCTGTTTGGGACTGCGATTTTTCCCAATTTATCAGGCTGCCGTGACTCGCCTGAGCACACTACTAACACGGCAGCTGCAGTCCCTGCGACGTTAGCTGCAGAGCCTTCGTATTTCAGTGTCAAAGTCATAGACCTCTGACACTGGCACCGAAGATGGACTTCTTCACTCGGTAGCTATCATGCTGCCGCTGTCTTCTGCGTGGGTCCAACCACAAGCAAATAATCTCACTTAGTCACCAACAAAAATGAAATGTAATTGGGCCTGCTGGTTTTTTGCTAAGTTGGTGAAGTGTGTCATTGAATATAATGGCACTCACAGAGGGAACATTGCTTTTTTCATAGGCTTAAAACCTTGCTTAGAAAAGTGCCACTTTCAGAGCTATTTGTCATATTTTGTAGTGCTTGTTTTCCCTCAGCAAAGCAGTTTTTCATTCATTGGGAAGATCTTCTTCCTGCTGTTTACTTCCAATCCAGTCAGCCCACCCACACAGAAGTGCACTATGAGCAAAAAAGAGAAAGTTCATTCAGTCTTTAGCAGCAGGCCCTGGCCTTTTCATAGCTGAGGCTCATTGGAGAAAAGCTGGCAACCTTACTGTACCTCTTCTAGCAAATATCTCTTTCTCTCCCCCCCTCCTGTAGAGCTGCCCCTTTCTCCCTCCACACAATATTGCTGGGTCACAGGCACTGGGCTGTGCCCAGCGAGGCTTAAATGCTTGGATTTGATACTTCAGCTGCTGTGATATCAAATACACCTGTGGGGTATGCCATCAGGGACCACTGAGCCAGAAGGTTAAAAAAATCAACTCAGGAAATAGTATCCTGGGTGAGTAGAAGAGGTAGATACTTGGATATTATGTTCCAGGGCACAGCTGGATGAAGAAGACAGTATAAAGGTCTTTCTCAGGAAAACCTGTTAGATAGGACTATTGCAGAGAGGGTTGTACTTCATCAAGGACTTTTGCTTGCATAAACATACCATAATGTTATTGCAAGGACAACTCTTGCTAAAATGAACAGCCTTTCTCCTGTCACCTTGTACAAGCTCCTGAGTGGCAGGTCTGTTACTGCATCTGAGTAGGCTTTGCCTACCTTCCCTCTTTTAGAAGAAGATGACAGTTGCTATGGTTTGCTAAAACCTAGAGATCCTGAAGCCATAGAAAACAGAATCACAGGGTGCTACGATGTCAGGAGTGGAAAAAGATTGCTTAAAATTAGTATTAACTAGAGTAAATGAAGAAATCTAAGGAAAGAAAATTAGGCAGTGACTTCAGGTAAAAGATCTGTATCGTGGCCAAATATTTATTGTGGATGAGCTTCTAAGCTAAACATTTCAAAGGACTCCAGGAAAGCAAAAGAAAACGTTTGCTTCACGGTAGGGAGGTAGAATGAGTTACCTACTAGGAGCACTATGCCCCTAACCTCAATGGCACTGGGACGTAAAAACCTAGATGTTTCTTCTTTGCTGCATGCATTGCCCACTCAGTGCAGTCAGCTTTAACTGCTTATTCCTTCTGCTGTACTGCAATCAATGATGAGAGGCTGAACATTGACTGATCCTTGTGTACTTCAGAGCATCCTTAACCCTGATGCAGGGCGTGTAGTTGGCTATGGCCCTCAAAAACACACACATGGAGATTACCCAAAGCACAATAACCAAACAACCTTTGAGCCATGACATATATCCTTCTCTCTGAAACACCCCGTAGGCTGGGGATTCAGAGCGTGCACTGTAGTAGCTGGCAGAACCACTGATGCTTTGACTTCTGTGCAACGGAGGTTAGCAGCACCAGGAAACCCAATATGCAGTTTTTAAAATGTTGTTGCTTCCTTCTTGCAGGAGGAAGAGTCATTTAACAGAAGTGTAGCGGTCTGTTTAATTGCTGATTATCTTAAACCGAGCAACTTAACTGAGCAAATATTAGTCCCGTATTTTTAGCACTATGAGTGAAAATGATGAAGTGTAGTGAAATATTCAGCCAAAAAACAGACATAGAAAGGCAAGCTGAGCAACAAAAATTACAACACAGATGGTCATGATAAATTAATTGAAGTCACTAGGCTGCAGGGGGGGAGATGCAAAAAAATGCCATGGAGCCTAAAAGTAGACAGATGTCAAAAATATCTGTGATTATGCACTTAATTGCACTCTCTATGATTGCTTGATTCCTAATGTACACTATTAACAAACAATAATCTCCAAAGGACATTATCAAGGTTGTTGGCTTTTAAAATGACCAAATGTCGAAAGTTGACACAGTCCATAATGTCACCTTTACGGGGGTAATGATTTGTTAAGCTTTGATTTTCATTATGTGATGAAAATTCCTCTAGTAGCAGAGACATAACAGCTTTCACACCATATTTGCAGGGTTTTTTCCTCTGTCCTACGTAAATATGCATTATTTTATCTTGCACGGTTTGATACGTATCTAACTAACAGCAATTGACAGGTTGTCATTAGTCCCAGTGGGCTTCAAATGGTTTGGATCCATTTGGTAAAACAGGAATTTTGCCACTAAATTCAACAGGATTAAGGCTATGTCCATACTCTGTTCAAGTTTGTTCTACAGTCTACTGAAACCAATGGAGGGATTTGAGCTGACCCGGAAGGGAATTCAGGGGGGAAAAAAAAGAAAAGAGTGGTGTGTCTGTGTGTGATAGTGCTACAGTTTCATTTAATGCAAACACAGAGCATATAGGGAATCAAATTGTTGCTCCCAACCATGTATAACCTGTGTGTATATATATATATATCTCACTGAAACTTTATGGGATGTATTGTGTAAGAAATTGTAGCTTTGTCATGTACAACCTCTCCAGGAGAGATCAACAGGACGAAAGGAGACAAGGGTACTTATGAAACTTTGGGGATTTGAGACAGCGAGAAGGTCCTCTGGAGGCAAGAACTGAAAACTCAAACAAGTCCCAGTGAGAGCACACTGTTTGTGTAGTGCCTCTCAAAGAAAGCTGTGCCAACTCTTCCCGCTCTGAGGCAGACAGAGCTCTGGAGGATGCGCATATCCTCCGTGAGTCTAACAGAAGCTTCTTTTAAACACTTAAAAAAAAAGATGCAGGGTACAAAATCTCCCTGTTGTTACATCCCAAGACCTTAAAGCCTACATCCCACAGTTAGGGAAGTGGGATCACCTCTTTCCCATTGCCAACAGC